AGGAGTCCTCCGCAGCCGCCCAAAGAAATGATGGAGGCTAGGATGAGGGTGGTGACAGTGGGGCATGGAGAGAAGATGAAGCTGAGAAATGTTAGGAGGTGACATCCAGTGAGAGAGGATGGAAGTAGGTCAATTGTGCTTCTATCTACAGTGACACACACACTGAACAGAAGGCCTCAGACACTTCCGAGAAGTTAGTCACCAGCGAGACAGCTGGGGTTGGGCACAGGCGGTGATGACACCTGGGTCAGGCCGGTGTGGCTGGAAAGATGGCGTTACAGAGCTGCAAAATCAGCAAGTGTGTGGGCTCAGAGCAGGGGAAGTCTGTGGGATTAAGAGCCCCACCAGGGATTTGGATTGAAACCGGGGGCTGGGGACAGCATCACATATCTGAGAGAGAAGTGTGATCTGATAGTCCGGGGCCTGTGGCAGAAGCAAAGCCCAAACACACAGACTGGACGGAGTTCATCGAGTACTCTGCTCCCTGCTGCCAGTCCTACCACTGCAGCCAGGGCTAGTCGATCCCAGCATCCATTCCCTCCATTCTGGGAAGTCCCTACCAATCGAGTGGAACGATACACAAATGAAATACTCTTGCAATTGCAGGACGGGGTGGGATTCACCAGGGGACACTGAGATTCCTCTGGACACTTGCACACCTGCACTTGGCCCCGTGATCCTTGGAAGAACTCTGAGAAGTTGATGGAGCAGGTATTTGCATTACTCCTACTTCCCAAAAGGGGAAACTGGGGTCCAGAGTCACATGGCTAATAAAGGACAGATCTGGGCTCAAATTAAGATCTGTTTCCAATGCTGCTTTCTTCTCTTTCATGGGAATTGGTGACCAAAATAAGGAAGACTACTGAATCAACTATTTTTATTGTGGCAAAATTACATAACATAAACTTTACCATTTTAACTATTTTTTGTACAGTTATGTGGTTTTAAGTACATCCATGCTGTTTTACAACCACCAACCACCATCCATCTCCAGAATGTTTTCAGCTTCCCAAACTGAGTCTCTGTCCCCATTAAACACTACTTCCCCTTTCCCCTCTCCTGGTGGTTTCCCTTCTATTTTCTGTCTCCAGGATTCTGACTACTCCCAAGTGGCGCTAGTGGTAAAGAATCTACCTGCCAATGCAGGAGATGCAAGAGACGCATATTCCATTGCTGGGTCAGGAAGATTCCCTGTAGAAGGGAGTGGTAAACCACTCCAGTACTCTTGCCTGTAAAATCCCATGGACAGAGGAGCCTGGCAGGTTACAGTCCACATGGTTGCAGAGTCGGACACAACTGAGCACGGCTGAGGCACCTCAGCGTAGTGAAATCATACAGTCTTTGTCCTTCTGTGTGAATCAACATTTGACCCCCAGATTGCACATGGTGGAATTCACGTCAGAGTCCTGGTTACACTCTTGGTTCAGACATCATTTTCTGGGCATCTGTTTATCTTTAGGTTCTATCAGAGAAACAGCACGAATATCTAAAGTGTCTTGGTTTAACCCATATGCTGTTTTCATTTAAATGAGCAGATTTTTTAAAATGTCTTTCTCTCTACGGACAGTTGTAAACCCTTCCACAGGAAGAAAGAACTCAGCCAGTTTCTATGGCAACTTAATGTCAGCAACCTAATTTCTTAAGACTTATTTTCAGAAACTGTGTGTGGTTTTGTTTTTTTTTTAGACTGGGGCAAGTGGATGCTGTCTGGTAATCTTGTTTTCAGGTTCTTTTTGCTGTTTTTAATATATCTATTCATCATACAATTTCCAAGCACCTAAATAGATCAGGCACTGTGCTAGGCATTTGGGGCAACATCATATGGGCAAGTCAGGAAATGGCGCTGACCTCAGGTTTGGTAATTTAAGAGATGCTGTAGGGACATAAAAAAATACAGTTGTGGTTACCAGAGGAGAAAAGCGGGGAGGGATGAATTAGGAGTTTGGGATTACTATATATAAAACAGGTAAACAACAAGCACCTATTGCAGCACAGGGAACCCTACTCAATATTTTGTAATAATCTATAAGGAAAAAGAACATGAGAAATAATATATGTATGTGCATATAAATATGAATCACTTTGCTGTACACTTGAAACTAATACAATATTGTAAATCAACTATCTTTCAATAAAAAACAAAAATCTTATGCAATGCAAAAAAAAAATGCTGTAGGTATTCCTGAGAGAAACTTTTCATTGATAACACTAGCAAAAGTAGAGGCATAGAATCAGGGGAATATATCTGGGAGGAAACTGAAGATGACTGTCCAGCTTGTACACCCAGGTAAGAGTCCTGAGATCCTTCTCTAAAAAAGCACTGAATAATTATGATTGCAACATGGGATCAGTTTTGACTTTTAAAACACTTGAATTCAGCCTTCAAAATAGAAGGAAATGTCACATGCTACCACATGGATGAAACTTGAAGGCGTTTTGCTAGGTGAAAGAGCCTAGTCACAGAAAGACAAATACTGCACGGTTCCAGTTATAAGGAGCATCTAAAGTGGTCTAACTCTTAGAGACAGAAAGCAGCATAGTGGTCGCCAGGGGCTGAGGGAAGGAGCACAGGGAGCTCTTAATCAGTGGGTATAAAGTTCAGTTTTGTCGGATGAAAAAGTTCTAGAGAGATGTCCCTGGCAGTCCAGTGGCTAAGACTCCTCGCTTCCACTGCAGGTGGCTCGGTTTGATCCCTGGTCTGGGAAGTAAGATCCCAAGTGCTACAGCACAGCAAAAAAAGAAAAAGAAAAAGAAAAAGGAAAAAAGCTCTAGAGATCTGCTGTCCAACCATGTACACAGTTAACGCTACTATGTGTACACTTAAAAATGGTTAAGATGGTAAATTTTATGTTCTATGTTTTCTATCATAATTTTTTTTTTAGAAAATAGCACAGTGATGGCCATATACGGACTCAATAAAAGGTCTGCAGAAAGCCAAAAACCCCAAAAAACAAAACAAAAACAAGTTATGAGGTCCCAAGTCCTGGCCTCATATATTTTCTGAAAGTTTTAGCTATGGGGTTGGAAATGGGTAGTTATTTTCCTCTTTTTTTGCCATTTTAGTATGTGCAATTTAAAATACAGCTGAGAGCAACACGGATGCAACTAGACATGATCATACTAAGTGGAGTCAGAAAGAGAAAGACAAATACCATATGATCTTGCTTATATCTGGACTCTAAAATATGAGACAACTGAGGACTTCCTGGGTGTCCCAGTGGCTACGAGTCCACCTGCCAGTGCAGGGGACACGGGTTCAATCCCTGGCCGAGGAAGATCCCACATGCTGTGGGGCAGCTAAGCCTGTGTGCCGCGACTGCTGAAGCCCGCGCCCTAGACCTGTGCCCTGCAGCGAGAGAAGCCGCCAGGATGAGAAGCCCATGCACCACCACCCAGAGCAGACCCCGCTCATCACTGCGACCAGAGAAAAACCGCTTCCAGCAAGGAAGACACGGCACAGCCTAAAAGATGAATTAATATCTTTAACAAAATGTGACACAAATGAACCTATCTGTGAAACAGAAACAGAATCACGCTCATAGAGAACACACTGGTGGTTGCCAAGGATGAAGGAGCTGGAGGAAGGATGGAGCGGGAGGCTGGGGTTAGGATATGTAAGCTTTTATATACAGAATAGATAAAAACAAGGTCTTACTGGATAGCACATATTTAATATCTGTAATGGAAAAGGATATCAGAAAAGAATGTATATACAGGTATAACTGAATCACTTTGCTGCACAGCAGAAATTAACATTATAAATCAACTATACGTCAATCCAAAAAAAAGTACAGCTGAGAAATACCAAAGTCAAGACTTTTTTATAAAGTCATCTAACCAGTGCTATCCCCTTGGCGGGACAAGTCTTTGTACCCATCTGACACTGACCCTGAGTCTGTCAGCCCTGGACTGAGGTCGGCCTCACACATCTAAAGTTTCAAAGGCTGACAACAGACCTGCCTCTGAGGGCAGCCACTAACATCTGTGGGGGGGCCCTTTTCAATTGACAGAGCCCCCTCAAATGTGTTTGCCTCGCTTCAACCACTGTCTCCTCTTGACCAGGCCTCCGGTGTCTTGACACTTGGCTAGCAGGGTTGGTTTGCAAAATTGAAACCTTAGTTAAGGCTCGTTGAGGTTTGGTTTTGAAAACTGGCTGCTCCTACCCACATTCCTTCGAGATATAAATAGAAAAAAAAAGGTTTAATTAGTAAAGCAAGACATCTGAGCTATGTCCACCTGATCCTTGAAAAGGAAATCTAAGAGGTTCTTCCTATCGCTTTTTCAATCCTATATAAGGTACGTCAGTGAGGTAGCAAAAGCGTGCCTGTTTTTTGGCTCCTTCAGTTCTTTTCCCTGATTCTTCTTGGAGGAAAATCTAAAACGGTGAGTAGCTGGTGGACCACCCAGATCCCAGACTCTTCTTTCCCACGTGCATTTTTAGGCTGGTGCATGCAGTGCTCAGATTCTTTTCCCGTGGAGTTGATACATGGGTGGATTCTGATCTCTGGTAAAAGGGTTTTTGATGTCTCTAGACAGATGGGCATCCCTTCCATAGAGGGTCTGCAAGCAACCCAAGCTCTGTCCTTCTGTAAGTGAAACTTGTAACGTTGCATTTCTCTGGCTGGTGTATTAAAATGCCATTGCATTTGTAACATGGTCTACTTCTGAACGGCTTGTAGATGTCTGTATAAGTGGTCAATGATATAAATAGAATTTTTTTTACAAGAAAGCAGCATCGAATCTTTATTCAGTTTGTATTTTTTAATTTCATCTTTGGTGTATCTTCAAGAGAGGACACTGAGACGAAGGGGGCTGGAATCTTTTCAGTATTTGGTTTTTATTTGGATATTATGGCTTAGCTGGTCATACGCTTATTACATTTTAAAATTTCTCAACAAATGTGCAGTTTCTGTGGGCCTGAGGGAGTGAAGTCCCCCAGACGTGCATGTTTCTGCTAGGCGTTTACCACATCTCGATTCTTCCGTGAGAACAGGTGGAAAATGAGCATCACAGATGTCCTCAGCGCTGACGACATTGCAGCAGCCCTGCAAGAGTGCCAAGGTAAAGGGGAAGCGAGGCAGCGGTGGGTTTCTCGCACATATTGATAGCTCCTGAAAAGCTACAAAAATTAAAACGCAAACTGGCTGAAAGTGCATTGGGATCAAAGGAAGAACTTATTAACTAGATAATCCCATGATAGAAATAGGAGACCTGAGTATAGAATCACTTTCTGTAAGGTGAAAGAATCTTACTAAACATGAAGAAAAAAAAAAAAAAGGAATCAGTGGATCCCCGTAGCCTGTTTGAATCCTATGACTGTATTTCTCTCACCAGTTAGACCAGTGGGGCTGCCATCTTGGATACACAGCCTGAATAAAGGGCATCGGGAAGCACAGAGGAGGGGAGGCCAGAGAAGGGGAGATGGACAAGTCGAGTGGAGAGGGAAATCTGTGGAGGGGGAAAGGAGATGAGAGTATGAAGGCATATGGTCTTGGCTGCCTCAGAATCCAGACCCAGTCACAGCCCTACTTGGCCTTTAAAAAAAAAGTTGTTTTTTTTAACAGAGCATCCCTGCAGCTCAATGATATCATGTAAAGTAGTTTTAACATCCTAAGTTGACATCACTTTGGTCCAGAGACAGAATACAAACCAGTGATCATCAGAATAACCTATTCTCTGTTTTTCAGATCCAGATACCTTTGAACCCCAAAAATTCTTCCAGACATCGGGCCTTGCTAAGATGTCGGCCAGTCAGGTGAAGGATGTTTTTCGTTTCATAGACAACGACCAGAGTGGGTACCTGGATGAAGAAGAGCTGAAGTGAGCTTTGTCCTAAGCCCGACCAGCACCCCAGCATTGTTAGGTGGGGCTGGGGTGCGGTGGAGGCCAGTCTCCCCAGTATCTTTCAATGACCAGCTCTGATGCTGGTCACTCAGTAGATTCTCATGAAAGAGCAGAACATGAGTCAGTCGGCCACGCTGACTCACAAAACACTAAATACGGGCACCAAAGACCTTGGGGACAAAAAGTCTTCAGTCTTAGGAGTATTCCTTGGCAAGCCAACTTAACAGCAAACTTCTGAAAAAAAATTTTTTAAACCAAAGGTCCACTAGTCTCGACAATGAAGGAAACTTTTGCTTGTTAAGATCTCAACTGATTATTGTGGTTGCTGGGAACAGATGCTTTGCTTCAAGAGAAAAAGAAAGAGGTGAACACAGAAATGTGTGTGCATTTTTAAAAACATTCCCCTCACTCTTTACTATCCTGTAGGTTTTTCCTCCAGAAGTTTGAGAGTGGTGCTAGAGAACTGACCGAGTCAGAAACCAAGTCCTTGATGGCAGCTGCAGACAATGACGGAGATGGGAAGATCGGGGCTGATGGTATGTTCACACCCGTACACGAGAGACTTGAGCTCAGGTGGCATCCAGAGCAGGGGGGTTAGGCCATGAGGTCAGACAGATATGGGTTAAACCTCCCCTTTCTTCAGCTTGCTGAGCCTCAGTCTTTTCATCCATAAAAGTAAAGTGAGGATGCAAATGATCTATGTCAAGACTCTGGCATGGGGATATAACATAGAAGGTAGCCCCACTGATCACTGTCTATGAACCAGAAAATACCTTTCACCTGACCAGGGTACTAGCTACTAGCCTGGCCCATTATTTACAAGACACCCTGATGTTAGGAATCTCCAGCAGTGGGGTTTGAGTCTCTCTGAATAAGGGAAGAATTGACATTCTCAAGTACATTTCATACCAAAGTATCTATTTGATTCTTTTGAGTAGGAAAGGATCTTAGCTTGCAAGAGTTTAAAGAAATATGTTTTCCTGGACATTAGCATACCAAGGAGGCAATACTAAGATAACACTAAATCAATCACCATTTGTGCAGCCTTCTGGGTGCAGAGCCCTGTATTCAAATTTTAGCATAACTGCATGTCTGTAGGATTATCTTCATCTGATTCTGTCATGTTACCACATGTTTTTCCTACTTCGTGCATGTCAGCTCAGGAGTACTTATCTGTGTTCCTTATGGTGGTACTAATTAAAATGTAAAACTGCTACTTTAGATCCTTATCTTAAAACTCTACTCAAAATGATACCACTATCACTTACTACATGGGAGTTAATGCAGCCTATATAGGTAGCTCAGAAAAATATTTCAGGTAAGGGAAAATAGATTTATTTAAACTTACTCATAAAAGACTTCAAACAAGCAAAGCTTACCAATAAATATAAAGCAAATCCCAGTTTTCAACTTCACTCTGGAGCATCCACATCTTATTATCATCTTTTAGTAATATAAATTCGGGGGGCAAGGTTAGGGTCCAGTAGAGAAAACTCAGCTCAAAGTCCCAAACCATTAAATGTTTCCTAAATATACAATAAGTAGCTACTGAACAGAAGGAGGAAGCTCCCATTTCTGTCCTGAATTGACCAGACACCGTGATGGGCTGCTACAATGAATTCATTCCTCATCAGAGAAATGACTGGATTGGCAAGTTATAACACAAGGGGCTCTAGTGCAAAATTAAAGACGTTTGTCACATGAGATTAGGCGGGAAGACGGAACACTGCAGACTGTCAGTGACACCTTTTCCTCTTTCTGCGCCCTTGGAGGGGGCCATGGCCGTCATCTGACAATGCGCTTGGTTCTCTTTCCTCTTCAGAACCCTCACTGGCAGTAGCCTGTTTGTACAGTGCCAAGCCTTCCCCGCTGACCCTGTTCTCACCTCTTCTCTTCTAGAGTTCCAGGAAATGGTACATTCTTAAAGGGCCCACACTGTGGAGCTAGAATCAGCTGGAAGGCTTCCAAAGCCCCAGGAATTGGGACACCCCACCTCCTCCCCCTAATTTATTAATTTCCCCCAAAATGCTTCTATAGCTTGCCTGTTGTGTTAGTGAGGTCGTCAGACAGTCATCCGTGACTTTTTGGCGGTGGGTATGCCCTAAGAACTCCTGTAAGGCCTCAGCCCACAAAAATGCCTTAAAAAAAAAAAATCACCCAATAAAGACACCTTTCTCATCATCTGCTGATGTGTGGGTGTGGTTTCTTCCTCCACGAGGGATGAAAGCGATTTGAAGACCGAGGGAGGAATTTTAGGAAGATTTCTGGTGTTAGTCGAGCGCTAAGCCATCCTTACTTGCACTGTGCACAAGCACAATGGAAAGGAGGTTGGGGGAAAAAAGGTCACAAATAAATGGCATCATCAGGCTAGGATTTTCTCAGCAATTTGTCTGAGTCTGAAACGCCTATGAAGAGATTTTTCCAGCGGAAAGTCATGCTTGCTTATGTGTTTTCTGCTACTGGGTGTCAGGTTGTTATAAGAGAGATTTAGGTAAAAGCAAATAGTACAAGACAGAAAAAAGTGCAAGGCTACAACGGCCCTAAAGCTGAGGAAACCTGCAGTGCTGGTTGAGACAAGCAGACGTATTTTCAAGCTGATTTTTTTTTTCCCTTAGGAAAACAGGTTATCAGAGACTTGCTGGCTCTGACCAAATCTCCTGCCACTCCCTTCTGAACCCTCCCACCTCACCTTCTTCCTCCTCCTCCCTTCTCCTCTCTCCTTTCTCAGCCACTATTTTCCTGGCTCTTATTTGATACCACCTGAACCAATTACACCCAGAATTGCCCGAACTATTGAGGCAAGACTCAGGTTCCTGTTACAGGTCTTTCACTAGGGTGGGGCAACCTCAAGCCAGGAAATTCTCATTAGGCTGACTTCCAGGTGGCAGGTTTGAGCTGTTCTCTCGGGCTGACCCCGCGGGTGAGGACTCCTGGGAGGAACCGAGGCACATTCCCGGAGCGAGTTTACAAGCTCCCACTTCTTAGCCGATACCCAAACTCACAGTGCCCTGGTCCCTCTTGGGTTTGCTGCCATCCTGCTGAGTGGCTTATCTACTTCAAGCTCCTGTTTTTTGCAGGTTGTGGCAGAGCAGATTTTCAAAGTGTGGGCTATGTACTACAAGGGGATCTCGAGGTGATTTTATGGGGGCAGGGGCCAACACTATTAAATGTGATAGCCACCTATTTGTTTTAATAGGTGTCAGAAAGATAAAAGTAGCACAAACTGGATTTTAATATCGCTGCTTTAAAATAAGGCTACTAGACATTTGAAAGCATACTAAGGGACTTCCTTGATGGTTTAGCAGGCTAGTGGTTAAGACTCTGAACTCCCAATGCATGGGGCACAGGTTCACTCACTCACGGGGGAACTAGGGTCCCACATGCCACACAGAGCGGCCCAAAGGGAAAGAGAAAGTGTCATGATTTGAAGAATATTAAGTCATGCAGAGGGGCTTCCCTGGTGGCTTGGCGGTAAAGAACCTGCCTGCAACCCAAAAGATGCAGGAGACGTGAGTTCGATCCTTGGGTTGGGAAGATCCCCCTGGAGGAGGGCACAGCAACCCACTCCAGTATTCTTGGTGTGAAAATCCCAAGGACAGAGGAGCCTGGCAGGCTATGGTCCACGGGGTCACAAAGAGTCGGACACAACTGAAACGACTGAGTTCACACGCACGTAAGTCATGAAGAAAGGACAAAACCCATAGAGGTTGTTTTCAGAAGACTCAAACTGGGGAAACCCAGCCCCAAAATGAAGCCCTCTTTGGGGAGGGCGACAGAACCGAAGTGTGTCCCTTCACGGCTGGCTCTCTTGTTCCCCAGCCCTGTGCACAGCTGTGTCCTCACGCCCTCCTCATCCCCATCCCTCCTGGAAGCAATCAGGCGGGCTAGCTCCTCTGCACCTGTGGCTTCCCTAGGTGTGTGACAGGGTCTCCCAGGTACCAGCAAGAGGGCCTTCCAGGCCAATTCTGACGCCCTAGGAGGCTTGATCCCTACAACAATCCACATGCTGCCTTCACCACCACACCACGTGGACACTCTGAGCCTCCTGACATTTCTGTTCACTCCACTAGCTCTCCCCAGGTAAGGGCTCTCATCCCAACAGTTCTGAAGGGAGAGCCTTTAAATAACTCAGTGTGATCGTGTAGCCTTGTTCCCTTGGGCTCTGGACACCATATGCCTTGAAGAAACAAGGTGAATGATGCTGCTTTTTAGACAATTTAACTGACTAAACAATCCATTACCCATTGTGGTAGCAGAAGTAGCCTCACCCCAGCAAGGTAGAGACTGTGGGCTTCTCTTGTTTCTTTTCTGTCAAGAGGGCATCTGTAATAACGGAAATAATTACACTTACTATGGAAATAATCGCTGGAGGGTCTTTGGAGCACCCGGGGAACTTCCCCGGTGGCTCAGACAATAAAGAACCTGCCTCCAATGCAGGAGACCCCAATTCAATCCCGGGGTCGGGAAGATCCCCTGGAGAAGGAAATGGCAGCCCACTCCAGTATTTTTGCCTGGAGAACTCCATGGACAGAGGAACCCGGCAGGCCACAGTCCATGGGGTCACAAAGTGTCAGGTACGACAGAGTGACTAACACCCACAGGGGACACTGGGCCACTGAGTCACACCCATGTTCTGAATGTCCTAGGGAAATTGATTAGAGGATGGATGGATACAAAAGGATGAATTGCCACGTTTCCCATACATTAAAAGCCAGTTATTCACGAACTGTGTTCATTCTGCTGTTTCAAAGGGCTTCCCTGACGGCCCAGACAGCAAAGAATTCGCCTGCAATTCAGGAGTTGTGGGTCTGATCCAAGGGTCGGGAAGATCCCCTGGAGGAGGAAATGGCTACCCACTCCAGTATTCTTGCCTGGAGAATTCTATGGAGAGAAGCCTGGCAGGCTATAGTCCATGGGGTCACAAGGAGTCAGACACAACTGAGACTGAAACTTTGCTTTGCTTTACTGTTTCAAAAGTATAATTCAAACTATTTTTGCCCATTTCAATTACATTACCTTTTCATTTTTATAACCCAGTCTTAGGAACTTAATTTCAAAGTCTCTATCAATGGTAATAACTAGCAAACAAAAGGAGCCATCTCTCTGTATTTAACACCTAAAAGTGTCAGCTGGTATGCTTAAATCAAACAATCTTTAGTGGTCTTTATTCATACCAATTTTTAACTGTGTTCTTTGGATCTAGGGTATTTGGGGGAGGGGGTGGGTATTCCACTCTGCAGGTAATAACAACTCCAGGCATTTGGGCACATTTGTGAATTAGCACTCTTTATTTTGGGAGTTATTGATCTAGGTTGAAATTCTGTAGAAACATTAGCATTTTCAAATTTTAGCAGTAAGTATAATTTGAAAACAAGAAAATGTTTTCAAAAATTACCCTAATTTAGTCATTATATAAATATTGTACAAAGCAATTCATTTTTAAATGGGTCCTATTCAATATGTGCCTCATAGGAAAGAAAAAAGTGAAAGGACATACAGCAAAATGTTAACAGCCGCTCTCTCCAGCTGGTAGGATTACAGACCAGTGAGGTGGGCCTGGAGGCTTTTAAATAGGGGAGCATAGCAACTAGAGAAAATGAAAATCAAACATAGGATTCACACAAACAACCCACCTCAAGAAAGAATGTTCTCAGCAGTAGAATGATAATATTTTGACTTTGAAATGAGGGCCTACATTGCCCAGTAGGTCACAGAGCTGAAAAACTTGGTATCTGTTATTTTTCCTAATTGCTTATAAAACAGGGTGACATCAGTGGCTTTAATTTCGACTCTTTGTACAACTATAATTTGAGTTTATAATTTAGTAGTTTATAATTGAATGGAATATGATCTCAAAGGCAGCTTTGTGTATGTGATTAATTGTTGAGACTAAAGAAAATTATTAAAATACTTCTAATATTAGTTAGCATTTTGCTTCAGCCTCTGCACATTATGTTTATACAATTATTTTAACATACAGGTTTTTGCAGCTCTTTCCAGCTCAAACACAAAGTGTAGCAAAACAGTGAAGATGTGAAATATTTGTTGAATTGTTCAGGTTTACAAGATACATAGTTAATTCTGCACAATGACTACAGTTTAATTTGTGTAATGAGTACTCAGGAATCCAATTTCAAGCAAAAACCTATCTGGTATCTCTTCTGCTAATGTTAAGGTATGGTATTACTTTGCAAACACTTAAGAAGACAGATGAAATTGGAATCACCAAGATCATTTCCACCTGGCCTGTTAATTTATTCACTGGAAAGGCTATTCATTTACACAATGTTTTAACTGGTTTCAAAAAGTCAACGTTTTTGGGAAGGGAGTGGATTTTGACATCATTTTTCTTAGGGGTTCTTCAATGCATGTAAATAGATTCACACCTCAAATTATAAGGTATTTCAAACACACATCTGAGACTACAGAGATGTAGCAAACACCTGCGTACCTACCACCTCACTGTATCAAACCTTGGCAGGAACTGTTTGGTAGGTTTATAATTTGTCATCTTGCTTAGGCTACAGGTATCCGGTTAGGGTGGGCAGCAGGAGACATCCTGCCTGGGACTTGGAAGGTGGGAGTGAAGCAGCCATGATACTGATGCTCTGGAGGTTGGTGTGGGAGTACCTTACCTGCTGGCTCCCCTCCTTGGTGTGGGGATCTTGTTCTGTCCCAGCTCCAGGAGCATTTCCTTCTATGAAAAAGAAATCCAGCTTTGGGAGCAGTGAGACTGATCTAAGTTCCAGTCTGTTCCCAGGGGCTCCAGTCTGTCCTCACTCTCCTCTTTACATCCATCTTTCTTTCCTGCCTGTCTGTCTGCAGAATTCAAGCTTCAGCATCAGATGAAGGTGAGAGCCTTATAGAGACTACTGAACCAGGCTTCACTGGTTCATAATACCTGTAATACACATATTTGTATATA